GCACACACACACACACGCACACACACACACACACACACACATACACACACACACACACGCACACACACACACACATACACACACACACACACAAACACACACACACACACACACATACACACACACACACACACACACACACACACGCACGCACGCACGCACGCACGCACGCACGCACGCACGCACGCACGCACGCACGCACGCACGCACGCACGCACGCACGCACGCACGCACGCACGCACGCACGCACGCACGCACGCACACACACACACACACACACACACACACGCACGCACGCACGCACGCACGCACGCACGCACGCACGCACGCACGCACGCACGCACGCACGCACGCACGCACGCACGCACACACACACACACCCACACACACACACACACACACACACACACACATACACACACACACACACACATACACACACACACACACACACACACGCACGCACGCACGCACGCACGCACGCACGCACGCACGCACGCACGCACGCACGCACGCACGCACGCACGCACGCACGCACCCACGCACGCACGCACGCACGCACGCACGCACGCACGCACGCACGCACGCACGCACGCACGCACGCACGCACGCACACACACACACACACACGCACGCACGCACGCACGCACGCACGCACGCACGCACGCACGCACGCACGCACGCACGCACGCACGCACGCACGCACGCACGCACGCACGCACGCACGCACGCACGCACGCACGCACCCACCCACGCACGCACGCACGCACGCACGCACGCACGCACGCACGCACGCACGCACGCACGCACGCACGCACGCACGCACGCACGCACGCACGCACGCACACACACACACACACACACACACATACACACACACACACACACAATTGTGTGAAATTGTCTAACGTCAAACGCTCCCTACGCGCAATTTTGCTTCATGCAATTTGCACGAGGGACCAAGAAGACGTTACAAGCAAATGTGTTTTAGTGTGAACGCTTTGAAAATATCAGCCTAAAATTTGAAAGCAACTCTGATTGATCAGCGGGCATTTTTTAGAGTACCCTGAAAATTCATTCTTTTTGAGGTGGGGGACCTTGATGGATTAGGGTGCCTGAAAACGAATCTGTGGGCCTGGTTGCACGGTCAATGGTCTACGACCATTGCCCTTTTGAACCACTGCGGGGTGTCATCAACCAGTGTCAATTGTCGGTAGTACTGTAGCAGTGTTGGCTCGGTGATCCCCATTGTTATTGTCTTTGCGTATTCGTACACTCACGCGTGACTTCGAAATGCCTTAAGTTCTTTTATCATTTCCAACACCCTCCTTCATTTCTGGAGTGTCGATGTGGTCGAGGTTGCTGACGTGTTGGAGTCCATTCAGCAGCATGCAGTACTGGAACTTCGACGTCATCAGCTTCTTGGTCAAGTAATCGGTTGCCATTTCAGTGATGGGGCAGTAGACCAATTGGAGGCGTCCCTGCTCGATCTCGTCCTTCACGAAAAAGTAGCGAAGCAAGATGTGCTTCATCTTGTTGGCGATTCTGATTGCTGATTGGTTATCGCAGAATTGAGAGAAGGTCGGTAACTCGGCAATCTTCGCTTCTTCAAGCAGCTAGCGCAAGTACAGTCCTTCCTTCATGGCTGCGCAGAGGGCGATATATTCAGGTTCAGCAGATAAGAGAGCGATTAGTTCTTGTTTTCCTGAGTGCCAGGAGATAGTGCCGGTAGGTTCCAGACGGTAGATGTAGCCTGTGTGTGAGCGTTGGTTGTCCTTATCGCTGGCGTGATCGGCGTCGACGTAGCCGATAAGTTCGGTCTTGGTAGTAGCGTTTTTGTGGTAGGTCAGGCCGATCGTCAGGGTTGAGACAAAGTAGTGGAGCGCGCGATCGAGTTCCTGCAGATTCCCCTATTCAGGTCGCTTGAGGTAGGTAGCGAGCTGGCTAGCAGCGTAGGAGAGATCAGGATGGCAGCTGACGGCGGCGAACAGCAAGCAGCCCAGCTTCTGCTGATATTCCTGGATGCCGGCTAGTGCAAGTAGGGAGGCGAATAACGCGGGAACTTGTGGTGCATAGGCTTACGGAGTAGTGAGGGGTAGCGGGGAGAGGTCGAACCTCCAAGCGATGGTCTCGGCGTAGTTTGTTGCCGGGAGGTGGATGGCGTCCAGGCCGTCGGTTACGTTGAGGCCGAGATATTGCGTCACGTTCGGCGACACTATGATTGTGAGCTGGACTTCCAGCTCCCCTTCGAGCCAGACAATGATGGAAGCAGTGGAGCCGACGTAGAGCAGGTCGTCCGCGTAGACGATCAGCAGGACATAGTCGCCGCTGCGTGACAGCCTGTACATGCCTTGGTCGTGGGGGAGTTGGGCAAAGCCCATGGTGGTGAGGATCTGGTGCAGGTATTTGTGAGAGTACGACCCCGTTACACCACTTGTCCCTTTTCTTATTTCCTTCCTCGTTCATTTCTCTTAATCTCATCTCATTTGGTTTCCTATTCTCCATTAACCTTTGGTTTATCCTGCTATTATAATTATATCACCGACCAGGCTTGAGATGTACTGGTGCGCTGTCTGGCGTAATCCTGCCATAATCCCTTAAAGCCAATAGCCTTGCGTGGCTATAAGCAGGGTGATTCTATCTTCTAGAAGGGTCTATTCTCTTCGGATAAGATAAACCTGGTTACCTGATGTACTTTGGAAGTATAAAAGCGCCTTGTACTGATCGATAGTGCAACCTTTCCTCGACACATTCGATCCTGTGACACTTGGTAATCAGAGCTTTTCTCACTCGACCGTGCTCAGCTAAGCAGCAGCAGCGGGGATCCTGCCTCAAAAAACCGCCGGGGGCGACCAATTCGACGCCGATTCTGGTAAGCACCAGCTCCGCAATTTTCGAATTACCCCCTCCGTGCGTGTTTTGAACAGAATGGCAACCTTCGACAACGCCGAGGTTACCCAGCAGCTCTTCGCGCGCATCGCAGCCCTTCAGGAGGAGATGCGAGCGGACCGCGAAGCATGGCGAAACGAGTTCGAGCGAGTAACTTGACTCGCCGGAGCGCAGCACGAAACGACAACGGCGACGACGCAGCAGTCGCAACAGTTTCTCGAGGCTCCGAAACCGCGCCCACCTGAGCCGTTCGGTCCGAGCGATCGGAACTCCGACGTCCGCAGATGGATCGCCGGGATGGAGATCTACTTCGCAGCCGTCGGATGGAGTTCGCCAGTCTGGGACGGTCAACGCGTACGACTCGCGGCGACACTGATGCGAGGGCCGGCACTCGAGTGGATTGGCGATAACAGTACCTTCATCCACGGTGAAGCCACGTGGCACCACCTCGCGCCGACCTGCTGAAACGATTCGAGCCGATAAATTCCAGTTTCCTTGCCCGGGAAAAAATTCATCGACACCGACAGTTCGGGAGTGTAGCGCAGTACACGCAGCAGATGGAGGAATTTTATAACCGCATTCCCGACCTGACCGAAGGGGAAAAAGTACAGTCGTACCTCGCCGGGCTGAAGACCGAAGTCAAACGACAGGTGGCAGCGTCAAACTACACGAGCTACAGTGACGTCGTATCGGCCGCGGAGCGCTTCGACATGGTCAACGCCGGAACACGACGGACGCACGTCGGCAGTACGCGACAGGGCGACCGCTCGGCTCACCCCACGTTTGCCGACCCGATGGAAGTCGACAGATTCGAAGGGCGGCCACGTCCAAAAAACACCAACTACACGTGTGATTTTTGCGGGGTGCCGGGTCATCGAATCTTCGACTGCAGCAAAATGAAGACCGCACGCGCAGAGTATCGGGCACGCAACAGTGGCGGAATTCCTTCAGCCAATCAGAAGTAAAAAAACGGGAGTCGCCAGTGATTGCGGATCTAGCTGGCGAAAATAAAAAGATCCGAAAACGGCCGCGGGATTCCGGAAAAATCAACTTCGACGAAGCTGATTCGACGCGAGAAGGAGGAAATGATGGGGGAAAATCTCCACCCCACGACCAATCCTCGCCAGGGAAAATCGCCGAGGAAAAATACGACTCCGCGAAAAAAGACTCTGCCGAGACAGGGAAACTCCTTGAAGACCCAAGAAATTATAAGAATTCGTTAAAGTTATCTTATAAAGATGCTTTAATGAAAACTTTTGATTTTCGAGGAGCTAGAGCCTTGGAGAAATTTCGGGAGTGACTCCAAAAAAAGCAGACAACTGTGGAGATTATACCGGTACCGGACAACTTGGGGACCAAATTAAGGAGTGTGGAAAGAAGCCGACCTTTCCACGGAGTCAACGTCCTCTCCCGACACCAGCCCACAACGACCACCCGTTCCCCAGGGAAGACGTCGGTGGAGCTGAAGCAGCTCAAGAGGAAGCTGGGGGTCTACAAGAAACTGCACAAACCCCGAATTCCTTCTCCTACGACTGCATCCAGTTCTTCGGCATCAATGACGCGCACAGTCGTCAAGGAAACTCCGGGCCCTGGAGAAGAGCCGTTCTCCAAGCAGCCTCGGCCAGCTGCCAGCTCAGGAGTAGATAGCAACACAAAGGTGTGTACGGAATATTGGGATGTACCCTATGACCCAATCAATGAGACTATCTTTGGGTACTCCGAGCAACGACTGCCCCTCGTGCTCGAGGTCATATGCAAAGGACGACGCCTCCAAGTATTCGTGGACAGCGGAGCATCACACACTGTCTGCAACAAGGCAGTAATCGACCGACTACGGGAAGAGTACAAGCCATCAGGATTCTCTGCAACGATGGTGGACGGCAGCAAGTTACCAGTATACGGCGAAGCAGTGCTACACCTACAAATCGGACCACTGCGCTGGAGACCTGCTCTGCCCATCACCAACATAAAAGGGCTTGACCTGATCTTCGGGCGAGACTTCCTGAAAAGATTCAACCCCGAGATCAACTGGGTGAACCGCACCGCAAACATTTACAACAACGGACGGAGAGTACAGCTACCCAACTGGGACGATACAGGAGATATCCCAGTGGAGACACTCGCCAGATTCGAGAAGGACGTGAAGCGAACCGACACCGGGTTCCTGGCGATAGCAACAGAGGTGGAGAATGACGGAGAGAAAGCCTCGGAAACTCCAGAAAAAATCAAGGAATTTCTGAAGGAGTTCCAAGACATTCTTCCTGACGATCTTCCGAACGAGCTACCGCCATACCGAACGCATCAACACGAGATCGTGCAGGAACCGGGTTCGAAGCCGACCTTCCGAGCACCATACCGGCTCAGCCCTACGGAGCTGACTGACATGAAAAAACAGATCGAGTATCTCCTAGCCAAAGGACTCATCCGGCCATCCACTTCGCCATACGGTGCCCCAGTACTCTTCACACCGAAACCGGACGGAAGCCTGCGCATGTGCATCGACTACCAAGCTCTTAACAAGCAGACCATCAAGAATAAATATCCGATACCGCGAATCGATGACCTGCTTGACCAGCTTCGGGGAGCTACGGTCTTTTCCAAACTGGATCTGCGGTCCGGATACTGGCAGATACGGATGGCGGACAACTCTATCCACAAAACTGCTTTCCGAACTCGGTACGGATCGTACGAGTATTTGGTAATGCCGTTCGGACTCACCAACGCACCGGCAACGTTTCAAGCCGAAATGAACCACATTCTACGACCACTTTTGGACGAGTGCGTGGTGGTGTACCTGGACGACATCCTTATCTACTCGAGCGACATGAAGCAGCACATCGAGCACTTGCGACGCGTCTTCGAAATCCTTCGACGAGAACGGTTCTACGTTAAACTGTCCAAGAGCAAATTCGCCCTTGAGAAGGTCCAGTTCCTAGGACACCTGGTGAGCGCTCAAGGAGTTCACGTCGACCCCAAGAAAATCGAAGCCGTACGCACGTGGAAGACACCCGAGAACGTGAAGGAGTTGCAGCAGTTCCTAGGCTTCGCTAATTACTACAACAGGTTCGTGCCACAATATGCGAAAATCGCAGCACCACTCACGAATCTGCTGAAGAAGAACACGCCCTATAAATGGGAACCAAAGCACTAGGAAGCCGTGGAGCAGCTGAAACAAGCGCTCAAGTCTGCACCGGTACTCATCTTGCCAGATCCCGAACGCGACTACGTAATCGAAGCTGACGCCAGCGACCAGGCAGTGGGAGCAGTATTAATGCAAGACCAGGGGAATGGACTGCAACCAATCGCCTACCTCAGCAAGAAACTACATGGAGCAGAACTAAACTACCCGATACACGACAAAGAGGCCCTTGCCATCGTCATCGCCTTCAAAGCATGGAGATGTTATCTCGAAGGACGAAGAACAACCGTCTACACTGACCACTGCAGCCTGAAATACTTGAAGACACAACCCAACCTTTCTAGGCGGCAGGTCCGGTGGATCGACTTCCTCGAGACACACTTCCACTACGACATCGTGTACAAGCCCGGCCACAAAAACAAAGCAGACGCTCTTAGCCGGCCTGCACATGTTGCCGCCATTCAGATTGAAGGGATGAATCCACTCCTCAAGGGACTCTTCACACACGGGTACGCCATCGACCCCGAAATCTCCTTGGCGGAAAAACGACATTTGCTACAGTGGGACAGTGACATCGCATACCGGAAAGGATCAACGAAAATTTGGGTACCCAATTACCCTCCTTTGCGCCAGTTACTACTCGAAGAATACCACGACGCCCTATATGCCAGACACTTCGGTAGCAACAAGACGCTCACCGGTATCGCCAAACACTACTACTGGCCCTACATGGCAGATGACGTACAGAAATTCGTCACCTCGTGTGATACATGTCAGCGGATGAAGAGCAGCAAGCAGAAAAAGGCGGGACTACTGCAGCCTCTTCCTGTCCCAGAACAGCCATGGCAAGTGGTTAGCCTGGACTTCATCACCGGGTTACCACCTACCACCAGCGGTCATGACGCAATCCTTGTCGTCATCGACAAGTTCTCCAAAATGGTACACTTCATCCCGACACACACGACGGCACGCACCGAGGAGACAGCACAACTCTTCGTTCGTCATATCATCTCACAGCATGGCATCCCAACCACACTCATTTCCGACCGAGACCCCAAGTTCACCAGCAAGTTCTGGAAGGAACTTATGTCTCTCCTCGGGACCAAACTCGCCATGTCATCTGCTTACCATCCGCAGACAGACGGACAGACCGAGCGCCTCAACCAAATTGTTGAGTAACTCCTCCGAGCAGCCTGCAAGGACGACATCTCCAAATGGGACTTGCACCTGCCCGTACTAGAGTTTGCTTACAACAATGCTACACATGCCGCTACTGGACAGACGCCGTTCTTCCTCTGCTACGGACGCCACCCACTCACACCACAAAAACCGACAGCATCAGCTACAGTCCAACCAGCACATGCTTTCATCACAACCATGCATCAGCTTTGGGATCGGACCCACAAGCGCCTACTCGACATTCAACAGCAACAGAAGCGCCAGGCCGATCGCCATCGCAACGACCACACCATCATGGTGGGAGACCAGGTGCTTCTTGACACCCGCAACCTGGACATCAGCAATCTCCCATCTAAACTTCGACCTCGCTTCTGCGGGCCTTTTCTCGTTGAAGCACAGGTCACTCCTGTTACCTTCCGCTTACGCCTGCCAGCTACCTGGAAGATTCACAACGCCTTCCACGTCCAACTTCTGAAGCCCTATCCGGTCCCGAACACAATTTTCGTCGGACGCCAACCGCCGCCGCCACCGCCCGTCCTCGTCCACAATGAACCCGAGTACGAGGTCGAGTCCGTGCTCGCACACCGCCGTCGTCGGAATGGCACCGTGGAGCTTCTCATCCGTTGGAAGGGTTATGATCCTTTTGAGGACAGCTGGGTACCTGAGTCCGACATGGGTAACGCCCGTCGCCCTCTGCATGACTACCTTGTCAAGCAGGGTGTTACTTCTACCACCCAGCTTTGAGGGGGGGAAGTGTGAGAGTACGACCCCGTTACACCACTTGTCCCTTTTCTTATTTCCTTCCTCGTTCATTTCTCTTTATCTCATCTCATTTGGTTTCCTATTCTCCATTAACCTTTGGATTATCCTGCTATTATAATTATATCACCGACCAGGCTTGAGATGTACTGGTGCGCTATCTGGCGTAATCCTGCCGTAATCCCTTAAAGCCAATAGCCTCGCGTGGTTATACGCAGGGTGATTCTATCTTCTAGAAGGGTCTATTCTCTTTGGATAAGATAAACCTGGTTACTTGATGTACTTTGGAAGTATAAAAGCGCCTTGTACTGATCGATACTGCAACCTTTCCTCGACACATTCGATCCTGTGACAGTATTGCTGCCACAAGCACGGGGCCTGCTTGAACCCATAGAGGGATTTGACGAGCTGGCATACGAGTGTTGGGTCGTTGACGTAGCCGTATGGCTGCTCACCGAAGATGGCAGCATCGACATGCGTGTAGAGAAATGCGGTGGCGACGTCAATTTGTCGCAGAGGAAGGCGGCGGGCGGCGGCGACGGCAAATAGAATGCAGAGAGAAGTGTGGCGACTGACTGGAGCGAATGTCTCGGTGTAGTTGTTGCCGTACTGCTGGTCAAAGCCCCGAACTACCCATTGCGCGTTGAATCGTTCGATGGTCCCATCTGCCTTGGTCTTCACTCGGAAGACCCACTTCCCGGAGAGGATGTTCTTCCCCTTGGTATGAGAAATCGGTATTAGCTTCCAAGTGTTGCGCTCGTGCAGTGCTGCTTATTCTCGAATCATTGCCTCCCTCCATTTTTCCTTTTGTGGTCCTTGCAGTGCTCGCTTGACAGTCTTCGGCTCCTCACACTGGCGGGGGTGAGGACGGAGGATGCACGGCTGCTACAAGTCCGAGGATATGCAGGCCAGTCTTGGTGTAGTGGGGGAGTGTCAGATCCTCGAGATAGTCTGCTTCGTCTCCCGCTTCAGGATCAGGTACAAATCAGGGTCCGACTCTTCCTGAAACGTTGGTGTCGACGTATTTGGGTGTTACGTAGCCCGTGTCGGCGAAGTGGTAGCATGCTTCGGCATTCGCGCTTTCGCGAGGGTTCTCTTCGTCCATCTGCATGTCAACGGTGCAGTAAGGAAGTGGTCCTGCAATTGCTGACGTGTCCGGGACGTTCTGCTCTTCCAAGTCACCTTCTTCTTCGGTCGAAGCGAACTCGCGTGCGCCAGCAAAACCACCGGATGGGTCTTGATTGGTTGCAATGTTTTCCAGGTAATGGTTGAGGGTGAGATTCTTGTAGCAAATCATATCATGTGGCGGTACTGTTTCCTTATCTTCCACGTCGAAGATTTTCCAGGCCTTGTTTTTCCACACCCAGGTGTAGGCCCCATCTTGCCCGCTGCGAAAATCGTGCAGTGTGCGGACGGTACTATACCATGCAGCCGAACACTCGCAACAATTTTGTGCTGCCCTGCTTCCCTGTCCATAGCAGATGCTGTGATGCGTTGTTTGGCAGGGAGCTTGACGACAGAAGATTCTGCAGCATAACAGCGTGGTTCATCGCCTTCGGCCACTGCGAGTTGGGCAAGCGCATCCCCGTCAGCAGTTTCCTCAAGGTGTTCTGGAGGGTTCTGTGCATCCTCACTGCTAACCCATTCTGTTGGTGAGCGTAGGGGAGGGTGACGAGCCTCTTGATTCCTCTCTCAGTGAGGTAGTCCCTGAATCGTTGTGACTCGTATTCCATCGCCCCGTTTGAGTGAAAACTTTTCAGCTTCGAATCTCCCTCCCGCTCTACGACAGCAAGCCATGCGATGAAGGCAGAGAAGGCGAGGTTGTGTGAGGGTAGGTTAAGATGCCAGGTGTATCGTGTCGCGGCATCGACGAAGGTGATAACGTATTTGAGGTCGGCCCGACCGACTTCTCGTGGGATACACAGTATGTCGCTGTAAACCTTTTCGAGTGGAGCGTACTCTGGTGCGCTCGGGTTGTGATGCGACGGGAACGGTTGACGAGGAAGATCTGCATTCGGACAGATAAAACAGGTGCGTCGGGGTTGTTGGAGTTCACAGCCATCGAGTAGTAGAAGAGCATCCTTGTCCAAGATGTTTGCACGAATGGTGTCGAATAGTATTGAATTGCCAGGATGTCCTAACATTTGATATTAGAAACCGTCGCAGTCGAATTCGGGTTCAAGATCCGACGGGTGCGTCCAGGGCACAAAGGAGACGATGCCATCGCTGTCAGCGGTTCCGCGGTCTGGAACGAAGTCCAAGACGAAGACGCCATGCTTTTGGATGGCTCTGCCGATGAAGAGACCGCCCTTCCCGTGGTAGAGACAGAACTCTCGATCAAAGCTGTCACACTCCAGGTGAATACCCTTCGACATTAGCTGGCTGAGGCTCAGTAGATTGTAGCCGAGGTTATCGACGGCAAGCGCTCGTGACATCTGTAGTATCACGTTTGTCTTGCTGGATTGTAACTGAATGACCCCTTGTTTTCGTGTGCACAGGTTCTGGTTGTTGGCGACGGTGATGACGACTTCTCGGCTCGGGGTCTTCTCTCTCTAGACGAAACGTGTCGAGGAACACATGTGCTGTCCACAGCAACTATCAAGAAACCAAGTGTCACGGCTGGACGGTTCGTTGCGAGTCATAGCAGCATAAGTCGGGTTCAGCTGGAGCGGGGTCTGTGTCGGAGCTGGGGGTTGTTCGTCGAGATTGCTGTGAGGCGGGGAGTCGGGCATGTAGAAATCAGTTTGTGCCATGCAACTGACGACATTTCGTGCGTCTTGTGCAGAGCAGTTCGCTGTAGCTGGTGGGCGATGCTGAGTTGAAGCGACCGGAATTGGTGACGGACGTGGCGCTCGAGGTTGGTACTGCAGGTACTACGGCTGCTGCCGCTCGTGCTGCTGCTGCTGCCTTGGGCAGTTGAAGCGCGAGTGTCCTGTCGTGCAGCATCGATGACAATACGGAGGTGAGTGTCATTTCTGATGATGATTGTTATGCTTGCGTGTGTCGAGCGCGAATTGTTGACTCGGTTTCTTGGTGTGTCGTTCTTCGTACAGGTCCATATCTTGATGTTTGGCGTGGAGCTCCGCGCACAAGTGCATCTCGGAGATCCTCCCGTGAGCGTGTAGAAGGGAACGCGTCATGCGCCACCGAGGACCAAGTCCGGCAAGATCGTTTGTGACGAACGCAACCTCCGCTGCGTAGAAGCTTGTCGCATAAGCCTCTGCAACGATTGATGTAAGGCATCGCCTTTCTCCTGGTTGTGCTATCAGTCGGCTTCGTGTCACGCTGTCGGTTGCTTGGTAGACGCTCTTCAAGTGACAATATGCCAGTTCGGTGGAGGATGGTGAAGGCCATCAGCGATTGATAAGTGTAAATCTCCTTTTCTTGAGTAGTCCCGTTTACAGGAAAGGGCCAGGATTTGGTGAAGAAGCCGAGGATTTGCGCGCTGTCCATCAGCAACTCAAACTCGAAGCTCCAGGCGAAGAAGTCCTTCCCGTTGAAAGGTGAGGATGTCTGTAGTTTCAAAATATTGTGGAACTAAAGTTGCATGGTGACAATATCTGTCTGCTTGTCAACTGTCTCTGAGTCCACTGCCGGCGCGGGAGTCGGCAGGAAGGTGAACAAGCCTGGCGAGGGCTGGTAAGGTTGATGCTGTGTAGGTTGTGCGCCTCTTGCGTACGATGCGCCGTCGAGGCTTATTGGGACTGCCCTACTGTTGTTGTTGCTGTGTGCCGATTGAGCAGGTGCCGAAGACTGCTCGTAGGTCAGCATGAAGGAGAAGTATTTCTCCATTAGATTCGGGTCCATGCCCATGGAGGAGGCCACTGGTTGCGTGGACGCTCCTGCAGTTGCTACTACCTCAGTCCGTAGTTCAGAGATTGGGGGTGCAGAGGGGGATCCAGTAGAGGATCTATCGCCCTTAGATGGCGCCATGCCTTGTATCCTTGATTGATATGATCAATAACCTGTTCTCACATATTTGTACAAGGGTTCAACTAGAAACTTCCGCTGTGCTATCAAGCACTCTGTCACAAGGGCTTAGCCTTCTGAAAAGATCCTTGGGCTATACTCAGCCCAGTAGACTGTACCTGTAATTGGAACTGATACTGACTCTGGCTGTGGGTGTGCATGTGCCTGTGTCAGTAAGTGTAGCTGTACCTGTGACTGACATTGCATTTACATGTGTCATATAGTACTTCTGAATGTGGGGGTGACTGTCCTGTGAGTGTGTAAATTGCAATCTGATGCTGACAATACATGCGACAGGCTGTCAAGAGACATGCTGGGATTGCTCATGATCCTTGGGGAAGGGCTACAGGCCATCTCTCTGCCTGGGGGGTCATGGGCGCACTTACCCGCTACGAACAAGCCCTTGTAGCTCAGTGGTTAGGGCGAATTCCTACGAAGTTGGATCCAGCTCGTGTGTTACAGTGCAGTGCATTTGTCGAAAATGTGCAATCAGTGCGGTTCGGTTTGGCAGTGCGCGAAAGTAGTATCAGAACTCAGCAACTTTTTAATAGCGGGTCAGTGCATCCATAGCCCCCCAGGCTCTGCACCTGTGGCCCTTCACCGAGGATCTTCTCAAGGGTAATCCCAGCGGGTCTCTCGACATCCCCTCTCGCTGGGATAGGCGGAGGACACGATCGCCTCTGCAGCGCTAGCTCTGGGAATTGAAACCGAGTCACCAACGCTCTGATACCATATAAGAACGCAACCACTAACCACTGAGTTAAAAGGGTTTGTTAATAGCGGGTCAGTGCGCCCATAGCCCCCCAGGCTCTGCACATGTGGCCCTTCCCCGAGGATCCTCTCAAGGGTAACCCCAGCGAGTCTCTCGACAAGTAGATCCAACTTCGCCAGATCCCACTTTGTAGGAATCCGCCCTTAGTGACTGAGTTTGACATAGGCATGTATGTGGCTGACTGTGCTCGTGTGTTTGTGTCCGATTGAGCTGGAGTTCTCAAAGTGCATAGCCAGGACTTCAGTCAAGGAAACCTGAAGGCACCGGCACAAAAACTAGATACATTGTTGTGCGTTCCGCAGACATGCCGTGCAGCTACCTAGGAGTGTTACCTTGATATTGAGTGGCTGACTAGGTGGTCCCAGTTATCTCCATCCCCAAGAATGCTCTCAGCTGGTTGTGAGGACAAATGGGGGTGCTCAACATCATTTAAATATATATCCATTTCGTTTTTGTGTGGTTGGTTAAGTTTCTTTAGAAGTTTTGAAGGTTTTTTTATGCCTCGAAATGCTGAGTACAGTTCAGTAAACTTTTTCGACACGCCCTCAATGGGGGGACATTACAGCAGGGTGGCAGTCACATCCTCAATTCGACACGAACCAGCTTCAACGGTTCAGATTCACCTGCTTTTTTCCGCTTATGCAGACAACTACCCTGACTTGACTGAAAATCCAAGATTTTTGGGATGCCGACCCTGTGTTTTATATGACTTTTTATAAGCCAGCCCTGAGAGAATCAGGAGGATTTATCTACTGACCCGGAGGAGTCCGGGGCGGTTTTGAGGGGGTCCGGACATCTATTTAGCCTCCAGGGGGTGTAGGAATCTGTCAAACTTCCCATTCTTCCCTTTCACCCTTAGCCCCACGCTGCTCTTCCCATTTCCCCCTAGTTTAGCGGTTGGTTTTAAATTGATCTGCCAGGAACAATTGTTCACGCCACTCAAACTCGCCCCATCCCTCCCACCAAATCCCTTTCTTCCTAGCCCCCTGGCCGAAATGTAGCACTTTCACGTGCGGGATTCATCTGCAGCATAGGTGCTGGTGAGGGGGCGTATCTCCCATCCCACCCCGAAGTCGCCCATTGGCACCCTCACTATCTTGTCCAGCAAAGATGGGATATAACATATCAGGCCTTTTTTAGCACGGACCCTGAAGAATCAGGGTAATGTCCTCACGAGGACGGACTTTACAGGGCGATTTTATGAAGGGCCCGGATCGTCCGAGATGGCGAAAAACCTAGCGAGAGCCCTCCGCAGGAAGGAGGAATCCTTTCGCAATTGTCACATCAAGACCAGAAAGCGGGAATGGTTTGTTTGTTCCCTCCCTCCTGTCAATTCTTTCAGCAGGCAGCAACGCACAGCCGACCAGCCAGCCACCCACCTCCATCCCTGTCCAGTCTTATCTTTCACATCCGCAAATCGCTCTTGCTCCTGCACACGAATCCTTCCAGCCGCATATTCTAGCAGTGGACGGGATGACCGCATTACGTCTTTCTAAAACTAGCAGGTCGAGCTTTAGTATAATTGCCAGGAAGCGCTGCTGTTATTTTTTTCTCCGGCAACGTGACCTTCAAGATTTTAGGCGGCTGGAATTCCGGCGCGTAGCCTTCGCTCGTGATGGAACTGGCGAGGAGAGGACCAGTAGGACCACGAGGTTGCAGTAGCTCGCCTCCGGGAGTAAGTCAGAGTCGCCGAGTGGAGGGCGGTCAGTTAGACATACAGGAGGAGGAGAAGAATGAGTTATTGGCGATTTCAGAAGAGGGGATAGGCCAGAAGGACCCTGATTCGAGACTTAGCCTGCTGATCGAGCAACAGAGGCCTAATTGTTGTAAAGATGCCACTGACGGTTATGGTAGCACTAGGAGCTTGTCGAAACTTCTTATCCAGGGAATTGATTCTGCTAATTTCCCGTACTGTTGGGTGCTCGTTGGTCTCCTACTGACGATGCTGATTCTCCTAGGACAGTTCTCCCTTAACTCAGCTTCCAGGAATTTCCACTTCATTGCTTTCAATGGATTCTCTAGCGAGCTAACAGCTGCGTCGTCGAATTTCTCTCACGAGTCGTTAGGCTTGACTCCTCAGCAGAATTCAAGCTCGTCCGACGAACCTGCCAATCTAATCACAGCACCGTCGTCTTTCAGTGATTCGTTAGGAGATGACCGGTTAGATACCGCTGTTTTGCAGCGCGAACAGGAACTGTTGCGGCTCTGGGGAGAGCTGCTTCGGCCGGGATCACCGTACGCGCGTCTAAGCGGCGACGCGAGCGGTGCTACTAGCTTTCTAAGCTCCAGCGGTGCTGCGACCTATGTTGATGCTGATGCCAGCCACCCAGAAGCTAGCGACATTAGCAGCAACGGGACCCTTAACATAACACTGAATAGCGACAGTTCGGCAGGTCAGCCTGAGGGATTAAAACCGCAACAGCAGCAGCAACGGCAGTTAAAGCAGAAGAAGAAGCAGCAGCAGCAACCGCCTGCCAGCCGAGCGCCTCTCCCTCCCCACCTGGTGAACTGCGAGGTTATGGTCGATGCGGCGTACGAGTATGAGCGATTCAGACACGGCCGGCATGGGATGGAGGACATTCCATGGGCCCGGGTGCGAGAGAGAGCAAGGGAATCCGTCAGGGGGTCGCTTCCAGGGCAGAAGCAGGAGAGTATGAGTCAAGCGAGACGGCCGTTGTTCGATGGGAAGGGGGAGGGTCAGGAAAAGGGGAGGACGCAGAGTCCGGAGGAAGGAAGGAAGGGGAGGGAAGGGAGGGAGGAGGGGGAGGGAGGGGAGGTGGATGAGGAGGAAAGGAGTGGGAGGGATAGGGAGGAGGGAATGGAGGAGGAGGAGGGGGGGGAGTGGTGGAGGGACCGTATCCTCCATGGGTGGTTGGGGCGGACGAGGAGAACTACCCTCTGACTCGCCGAGTGCAGCGAGACATCTGGCTGCACCAACACCCCCAGAACTGCTCCGACCCATCTGTCAAGTAGGTTGCAGGTGCCGGCCACCTATCTGCACGGTTATACCATCACACAGGTCCTCTACTCCCCCATTCGTCCCTCACACCAAGTATGGCATTGGAGCGCAGGCTGACCAACCAACCTACCCCTCAAACCCCTTTCCTTCTGCTCAACCCTGCGCCACACTCCCCCCTCCTCCTCTCCCTCAACCCTCTTCTTTTCTTCTCAGCCCTGCACCGCACTTCCTCCTTCCCCCCAGGTTCCTCTACGCGACGTTCGTGCCTCAGTCCAAGTACAGCATTGGCGCGCAGCTCACCAAACTAGCTAGTGGAACTGCCCTTACTCTCCCCCTCCTATGCCCCCCCCCGCCCCACCGCCCCCCCGCAGGTTCCTCTACGCCACGTTCGTTCCTCAGTCCAAGTATGGCATTGGCGCGCAGCTCTCCAACGTAGCGGGGGCGCTGGCCCTGGCGGTGGGGTCGGGGCGGGTGCTGGTGCTGGGGAAGTTCGAGCGCGCCAAACACAGGGGGTGCGTGAAGCGGGACCACGGGCGCTGGCAGTGCTTCTTTGCCCCGGAAACCAGTGACGCATGCAGAAGGTGGGTGTGCTGCGTGAGAGGTGGGTGGGGTATGATGTGGTCTGGTGTGGTGTGGTGTGGTGTAGTGTACAGTGCGACGCGGTATACTGTCTGCTTGTGCTTGATCGGTCTGCGTCTGAACGTATCTTGCTTTCTTCCGCTCTTCTCCTCCCCCCTTCCCCAACATCGTCAGCCTCAAATCCCCCAAGCCACGTCAAATCAGCATTACATCCCTGAATCTCTTCCCTGTCACACGCCGCCATTCCACAGGCAAGCCCACAACCTTATGTCCGAGGAGCAGCAAGGGCAAACAGACCAACCGCTTCCTGCTACAGCCGCAGAATCAGATCTTGAGGCCGGATCCAATCTTGCAGCAGAGTCAGACGTGCACTCGGACCTGCGTTTGGTGCGGTGCCGCACTCTGCCCAAGGATCTCGTGTGGTTCCCCCCGGTTCCCTCGCTGTGGGGGGAGCCGTGGCAGCGCATCCCTGCTGTGATGGAGATCAACGGGCACATGAGGGGCGCCACAAAGACTGGGTGAGTTTGGACTGGAGTCCGTTCTAATAAGTTGCCTGGTCCTCCCTCTGCTGCGGCGCCGCGCTCGGCCCAAGGGTCTCGTGTGGTTCCCCCCGGTGCCCTCGCTGCGGGTGGAGCCGTCTCGGCGCATCCCTGCTCTCATCGAAATCAGCGGGCACATGCGCCAAAACACCAAGACAGGGTGAGTCTTGACTCGCGTTGGATGAGATATCTTGGAGACAAAGAGAGTGGCCTCTGTCGTTTCCGGGATAGATGGCTCCGTGGGGCAAAGCAAGCACGTTTAATGCGTGGGGCCATCACTAAGCGTTTGGCGTTGGCCTTGTTTTCGGGCATGAGCATCAGTGGTGGTGGCGGCTGGTGGTGGCGTAAGAGCGCATCGAGATACCTCATGCGTTCTCCCCCTCGTGCTTCCTCTGCACCCAGCCACGCCTATAACTGCCCATGCCGTTGTTGTACCCATCTCTCTGCCCGTTGCTTTCTCTCTAGCAACAAGGACCGCTGGTGGAGGGCGCAGGCGTGGAGGTACCTCATGCGCTCGCCCTCGCGGTACCTCTGCGCCATCATCAACCGGGCCAGGCACGCTGCCTTCGGTCCAATGGCAGCTCGCCAGGTGGCACATGCAGAAGCTGCACTTGCTGACGCAGAGAAGCTGGGCTTTTCCGCAAGCTCTCAGGTTTCTGGCCTTGCGCAGTGCATTCCTCTGAACTCCAAGTCAGCCGCGTGGGTGCCGCGGCCGCTGGTGAGCATGCACGTGCGCATGGGGGACAAGGCGAGGGAGATGCGCATGGCGGGATTTGAGGCGTACCTGCATCTGCTCTCAAGGGTGCGGCACTTCGACCCCTCTGCTAGGACAGTCTGGCTCAGCACAGAAATGCAGCCGGTAAGGCAAAATGACCTCCATAACCCCAATCCCCACCTCCCTGCCCCCCTCCCCCCTTCCCCCCCTCCCTGCCCCCCTTCTCCCCCCCCCTCCCTGCCCCGCTTTCCCCTCTCTCTGTCCTCCCCGGTCTCTAAGTTTATGTGCTCTTCCTTATGCTGCAACATATGTTTACTTTCTTGGATATCTCCTGCTTCTTGCTTTATGGCAGGTTGTTGAACAAGCACTTCGTATTCCTGGATGGAACTGGAAAGTCACCAGCATACCTCGGATGCAAGGAAAAGAGAGCATGCCTGCTTTTGAGGCCCGGATCGGTGCACAACGCAGCGTTGAGAATGCTTGGGTTAATCTACTTATGGCAGCTGAGGCTGATTATTTCATAGGTGCTCTTGGCTCGACGTGGTCCATGATGATTGATGGCTTGCGGTGTACAGGAGGCAAAATGCTTGCCGGTTTTTTAAGCACATCAAGAGACAGGCATTGGTAGTGTGGGCCAGCTTCCATGTCAATGTGGGCACATCATATAATATTTTCATCTCACCAGAAATTGCTCTTACAGTTTCGATATATCCTGTCCGCGTTTGAGAGGGACCGCAACTGTAGCTTCATGTTGGCTGACGGTGTGCTGTGCTGCACAGATCAATTGGCCAGCCTCGTTCCGTTCCGAACCATAGGGTGGCGGGAAGCTTGGCTTGGCCCATGACCAAGGGGCCTGGTATCAGGGCGTGACAAAGCCATTTACCAAGGGGCCTGCTATGTGGCTCGAAACCGGCTGAAGCGAACAAAGCTCCATGCCGAGCCTGCTGCCCAGCCAGTCGCCTTCGGTGTTTTCTATGTTCGGCGATCTGAAACGGGCTCCTCCCACTCCAGGATTCTGGGAATGTGGAATGCTGCTGGAACTAGCCAAGCTTCGAGATTTCGGCCATTTGCTGTACTTGCCGAAAAACGAAAATCTCTAGGCCATATTTGGTACTCGCCCTATGGTAGAATTACCCCCTTGACATAACAGGGACAGGCTTCTGTTTTTAGTCAGCTGGCCAAATGATCGTTGACGGGATGCTTGGCCCTCATCCAGGCAGTCTTCTCGTCCTAGAGTTGATTGAGATGAGTTATCGCGCTGATATCGCACTGGAAAGAAGTACTTGTCGTCCTGACCCACGCGTATGCTAGAGCTGACCATCAGTGCTCTCCGATGAATGATCGATGCGCTTCCTTGCATCACCTCTGGTACCCGATCTAATTCCCGTGAGGCTCTTCGACGCGTAGCTTATTAGCCTCCGTAGGTATCGATAATGGAAGACTGATACCAGCAGTCTTCTTAGGCTACGCACCTCAGATGGGTATCGGGGGGTTCCTGCGTTCCGGAGCCTCCTTCGCTGCTCGTTTCGTCACGGTTCTAGCGGTGCACACGCTAGGAAAGGTCGTCTGGCCATGGTTCCGCGTGGCTGCGATCGCCAGCAGCACCGTCTGGTCCAAGCTACCGCTTCGACTGGTGAGCATCAGAGCGAGCTGCAGCGTCTTATTCGTGCTCGTGCCATGCCTTTCGTCCTTTCGTAGTCTCCTACGACAAACCGCTCGGAGAAACAGTGGAGCTGAGACACACACATAATATGTAAACGATGTTAAAAAAAAAATAAAAAAATTCTCCTTCTTGCTGACTGTCAATGCCATTCCCGCGTATCAGATGCCAGCGGGAGCAGCCAATGCCGTCGCCCGCCTGCGTCCCTTCTGCCTTCCCGTGGTGGCTCAGCTCTTCCTCAGCTCGCTCATCCCCTTCGCCTTCCCCGATGTCTGGCGCACGCTGCGCTTCTGGGACAGGCTCATGCCCATCTACCTGGGGTGCGTTGTTTCTTAGTCGACTCCAAGTCATTCAGCTTCTGGGATAGACTCATGCCCATCTTCTTGGGGTACGTGCAGTTATGACCTGCTGCCGCTCGGTTACCCACCCTTGCCGTTTGTTCAGTGCTGGGAGCTCTTTGCACAAACAGGTTGAAATGACGGACAAAAGAACGGAAGTATGGAGTTTTTCAGAACGGAAAAACACAAGCGTGTAGACGTGGAATGGGTACATCGCGCAGATCATAACCTGAAAGTCAGGTCAATGTAGCACGTCAGGGTTCGAGCTTGCCTGGAGCACTTTGTCGTGAGCCATTCGGTACATGGCTCACTGTAACCACCCCTGTCTCTTCCCTCCCGCTCTCTTCCTCCGTCGTCCCCACATTTCCCCTCTCCCGATCCCACCCCCCCCCTCTCCGTCCCCACTCTCCCAACCTTCCCTTCTCCCACTCCCCCCAACCCCCCCTCTCCCCTCCCCCCTTCCCCGTCCTTCCACCCTTCCCACCCTTCCTTTCTTATGCGGTTCTCCTCGCCTTGAGTCCCCCCCCCCTCTCTTTCCCTCCTCCCTTCAACCACTCCCCCCTTCGGTTCCCCCCCTTCCCCCCTCCCCCCGTCCCCCGTCAGCTACATGAAGACGAATTTATGGATGCGCAGCAATCCCCTTCCCCGAATGTCCTTCCCTCCTTCCCCTCTCGCTCTCCCCTTCCCCCCCTTCTTCCCCCCCCCCCCCCCCCCCCCCCCCCTCGTCAGCTACATGAAGACGAAGCTAGCGGTGCGCAGCAAGCCCATTGAGATTCGGCACGAGAAATGGGCTGTGCGCCACGAATGGGGTGGCAAGTGAGTGTGAATGGGGTGGCAAGTGAGTAAGAACGGGGCGGCAAGTGAGTAAGAACGGGGCGGCAAGTGAGTGTGAAAGGGGCAGCAAGTGAATGTGATCTATCTTTGAGTTGAAATGCTTGAGGGTAGTGAGAAGACAGGGAATGCGACACACATGATTTCTCTCTCTCTCTCTCTGGCCTCGCCTCCATCATCCATTTCGCGAGTGTGAGGCAAGAGAGCGTGAGGCTTACCTGCTGTGGCATCACCTGCTCTGGCCTCGCCTCCCGTCCCATCACTCTCCCCTCATTCTCCCCTTATCCCTCATCCATTCCTCCCTCTCTGCTTTCCCATCCAGGCTCGTCTACAACCTCGTGCTTCGTCTCAGTGGCCTCTACGTCAAATCCGCGCAGATTCTTGCCTCCAAATCGGTATGCCGCGACAGCACCTGATCCAGTTATGCGTTCTCCTCCTCTCACCTTCCCACAATGCCCTCTCCTCAACCCCCAACCCCTTGACCTTCTCTCTATGCAGTTCTCGTTCAACCCTCAACCCCCACACATGCACCTGCTGCTGTCGCACATTCCCCGTCCTATCACGCACAGGACTTCAATACCAGCAGCGTGGGCCCTACAAAAACTACACTCTACAAGCGCTCTACAAAAACTAACTTTCACAGGTGTTACCACAAAAGTTGCTGCCACGTATTGACGACATGGCACCTAACTGGTGTTCCATTGGACTCACGCACAGGACATCAAAATCAGCAGCGTGGGCCTGGCGCCTCACCTCCCTTTCTGGCAGCGTACGCCCAACCCATCCTTTCCGCTCCACGGATGGACACTCGCCTCTCCCCCCCCCTCCTTATCGAACCTCCACCCATCACCCCCTCCCTTCCCCCTCGCAGGACTTGACGCCAGCAGCGTGGGTGTGGCGCCTCTCCTCTCGTATTAAGGTTAAGGTCAAGTCATTCAATCCTTACTTGTTCCCCTCCCCTCCCCTCGCAGGACTTCATGCCAGCAGCATGGGTGCGGCGGTTGTCCTCTCTCTTTGACAGCGTGCCCCCGCGCCCCTACTCGCAAGTCATCTGCTCCATTGAGTGCGAGCTCGCCACCTGCCTTCGATCCGCCTCCCACACCTCTCCCACTCCTCCTCTTCCTGCCGATGGTGATGCCGCTAGTGCTACTGCCAACAGCGATATTGATGCCGTTACTGCTAATGGTGATGCCGCTGCTGTCGAGGCTGCAACACACAAGTCAACCGGTCTGACCAAGTCAACGCAGGTCAAGCATTCCCCCCTGGTGGTAGCGCAAGTGTTTGAGAGCATAGAGGAGGAGTCTCTAGCCTCAGCCTCCATAGCCCAGGCCCACGCCGCTGTGCTGCTGCACCCGCTCCCTGAGAACCAACCCACAGACCCTACCAAGGTGCTGCCCATCCTGCCCCACCTCACTGTTAGAGAGAGGGAGTCCCTGGGGATCTCTGCTGAGTGCAGTGAGGCCTGCTTCCTTGCACGGACTGACAAGCCATGGCCGAAACCCCTGTTCCAGTCTGGCTTTGTAGCAGGCGCAGCGGATGCTGGGATTGCGTCGCAAGTTGTAGCGGGAGCAGCTTCACCAGGGGTTGCAGACGGAGCAGTGGCTGCACCAGCAACGCCACCAGCAGCGGCAGCATCCTCCGTAGCAGGATCTGCCGCAGAGAATGCAGCGCCTGCTGCAATAGCAGCAGCTGCCGTTCCTTCTCCTGCTGCTAACACAGCCGGTACAGGAGGAGCCTCTGGTGCTGCCACCACCCCAGCAACACGCAGAGTGGTGCCGGGCGGGATCACCCGTCTGGTTCCGCTGGACCGCAAGCCCATCGGAGTGATGACTGCAGATGGCACTATCAAGCCCATCCCCCACCCCGCGGTAGCAGAGGTGGCGGGAGCAGTGGTGAAGCGGCCCATCCCGCCTCGGTTTGCCAAGGAGGGGCCGGGCCAGGAGGCCGAGGGGACTGAGGGGGGCGAGGAGGAGGAGGAGGAGGAGGAGGAGGAGGAGCAGTTTTTCGATGGGGAGGGCGGGTATGAGAGCGACGACTTCTTTGACGCGCACTCTGAGTCCTCGGAACCCGGTGCTGACGTGGCGAGCTGTAGCACGTTGGCAGTGTTGGAGGGAGCTGGTGGATTAGGGAGAGGGGCGGGAGAACGAGCAGGGGAGGGAGAGGGGGGGGAGAGTGCAGAGGGGAGGGGGAGGGGGAGGGAGAGGGAGAGGGAGAGGGAGAGGGAGAGGGAGAGGGAGAGGGAGCGGGTGCGGGGCAGGGAGGTGGTGGTGAAGGTGCAGCATCTGGGGATGGACGTCATCATGCGCTCCGACCTGCGCAACATCGGCCGCGTGGCCGAGTTCCTCTCGCCACAGCTGCCCTTCGACCTCCGCAATGTGAGCCGTGATAGCTCTGACCTCCGCAATGTGAGCCTTGCTTGCACTGTCCGAGACACTCTCAACTCCATTGCCCTGTTCCCTCCCCTCTCTCAACTCGCCCGGCCCCATCATCCCCCCCCCTCTCCCCCCCCTCCCCCCCCTTCCCCCTCAGATTGTGAAGGAGATTCGTCAGGCCTGCCTTCGGTCCGTGAGTTGAATCCCAACGAGCTCAACTTTCACCGAGGGGTTGCTTATCCTTGGTATTCTCACGTCCCCTCATCCTCCCGGCCCTCTGTGCGTCCACCCTCACCAGATCGTGAAGGAGATCCAGCAGACCATCCCCAACGAGTTCAACTTTCTTAGGGAGGTGGCGTTCATGACCACGGTGCGCCACAACCTCGCCCTCAGGGGCTTCCACCAAGTCGTCTGCCCCACGCCCGTGCTCCACCTCTGCACTAGGCGAATGATCGTCATGGAGGTACGGGCTTAGCCGCTAGGGGTGGTGTGTAGTGTAGCAGCATTTGGGCGGAAGTATGGCAGAGCCGTGGCAGCACTGCCATTGGGAGAGTGCTGTGGGTATTCTGAACCAGTCAGTCGTGTGCCCCACAGGTGTTTTTTTAGTCGACTCAAAAATCGCCGTGGCAGCACTGCCATTGGGAGAGTGCTGTGGGCGTTTTGAATCAATCAGTCAGTCGTGTGCCCTACGCCCGTGCTGGACCTGTGCACCTGGCGAGTGATCGTCATGGAGGTACGGGCTTTAGGGGTTCGGGCTTTAGAGGTAGCACACTCCTGCTTGTCTGTTGTTGGAGTTAGGCCTTTCAAGAGAGTCACGTGCCCCACGCCCGTGCTGGACCTGTGCACCTGGCGAGTGATCGTCATGGAGGTACGGGCTTTAGGGGTTCGGGCTTTAGAGGTAGCACACTCCTGCTTGTCTGTTGTTGGAGTTAGGCCTTTCAAGAGAGTCACGTGCCCCACGCCCGTGCTGGACCTCTGCACCTGGCGAGTGATCGTCATGGAGGTACTGGCTTTAGGGGTTCGGGCTTGAGGGGTATGGGCCTTAGAGCTTGGGGCTTCGCCGCTTAGGGGTGAGCTGTGGCAGGAATGCTGCTGGGAGTGTGCTTGTTGAACAAGTCCTGTGTCCCGACCCTCATGCTGGGGCCTCTGCACCAGGCTAATGCTCTCCACGCAATGTACCATTCAAGGCTTCCAAGGGTGCCGTTGGGGGATCACTGTTAGAAGTTTACTTAAGAGGTGTGCCATTCACCGAGGTCATCGACTCCCGACAAGGACCCCTCTTCCCGCCCTCTCTTGCCCCTTGCCCCTTTCCCTCTCTTACCCACACTCCCTGCCCCTGTTCTCCCCCCCATACCCCCGGAGGCTCTCTACGGCATGTATGCCATTCGCCAGGGTCATTGACTGGCATGCCATTCACCACGGCTCTACTGCATTGGTTGTATTTTTGCGCATCCCCACGGTTCCTATCCTTTTCTCCCTCTGTCTTCCCCCCATTCCCGCCCCTTCCCAGAGGCTCTACGGCACGCCATTCACCAAGATCATCGACTCGTTGCACCCCTTCAAAGACTCCTCCCTCCTCCCTCCCACTCTTGCCGCCACGCGCCAAGAAGCGATCTCAGCCATCCGTTCCCTCCTCGAATCCTACGGTGCCATGTTCTTCCTCGACGGAGTTTTCCACGCTGACCCCCACCCGGGCAACCTTCTCCTGCTCCCTGGAGCCAAGGTCGGGCTCCTGGACTACGGGCAGTCGAAAGTTTTGGACGGGCAGACGAAACGTTCGTTTGCCCGCATGGTGGTGGCGCTGTGCAAGGGGAACCAGCTGGAAATATCTCTAGCTCTGCTGGGCACAGGGATATCGTTCGGGGGTGATGCTGACTGGACCACCTTCTTTGCTAAACCAGGGGCGGAAGTAGCAGGAGGAAAGCCAGCAGGAGCGAAATTAGAAGGGAAAGCAGATGGGGCTGAGGAAAGTGCCAAGGCAGGGAAGGGGGAGGGCGAGACAGCGAACTTGGAGCCAATGATGAATGGACACGTGTCAGGAAATGAAGTATGTAATGGCCCTGCAGCAGCAGACCGAAGCTTATCTGCTCCTGCTCCTGCGGGGCTGGGCATGGGCTTGGGTCTGAGGCCTAAACCTGCCAAAGCCGTAGCACCAGTAGCAGTAGAGACAACATCACCAGCAGCACCACAAGCAGCAGCAGCAGGAGCAGCAGTGGGGCTGCCGTTGCTCGTCCCCCCGAGGAAGAAGAAGAGTGTAGCGTTCAGTGACCCCATCACGCTGGGCCCGGCTGCCACGCTGGGCCCTGCTGGCGCTGGTAGGGGCCCGGGTACGCCAACCAAGAGCACTCTGGTCACGCAGCCTCGGGAATCTCCTCCCGTTTCTTCTCCTGGTGCTGCTCCTGCACCTGCACCCCCTCCTGCATCGGCTACAGATGCTTCTCCTGCGCCTGCTACAGCTGCTTCTCCTGCACCTGCTACAGCTGCTTCCCCTGCACCCACTATCACTTCGCCTGCTGCGGGTTCTGGGTCGCCAGTGCTGCATGGGGTGGAGGGGGGCTCGGTGTCAGCCGCTGTGTTGGCTGCCGTCGTTGCCTTCACTGAGAAAGCCCCTCCTTCTGACGACACTGCTGCTGGGAGCGTCGGTGGAGTTGGGGGTGCTGGCAGCAGTGGTGGCAGGGGCCAGAGCGCTGGAGGCAGTGGGAGTTCCAGTGGTGGTGTGAAGTCTGGGGAGGGGACGGGCACTAGGTCAGCTTTGGGGAGGTCAGAGCCGGAGGGTGAGTCGGCCCTGGCGACGCTTCTTAGAGAGGTGGGGCCGGCGGGGCTGCTGGCAGCAGCGACGCCGGAGCGGCTGCAGACGGTGCACACGCTGTCGTACCTCATGTTCGACACACGTCCCATGGCTGAGGCACAGTTGTCGCCGCTCTCCCAAGACTCAGTGCTGCAGAGGGCTCCCTTGAAAGCGTTCAATCAGTCCTACTGGCTGGTAAGTGTGGGCAGCGAAACTGGTGGGAGGAGTTGGTGGTGCACACACTGTCGTACCTCATGTTTGACCCTCGCCTCATGGCCGAGGCCCAGATGTCGCCACTTTCGCAAGACTCAGCGCTGCAGAGGGCTCCACTCAAGGCGTTCAACCAATCCTACTGGCTGGTACGTGTTGGTGGGAAAGGATGGGAGTTGGTAGGCTAGGGTCCATGACAGAGGCAGAGGCTCGGAGGGTCCGGGGTTTTGAGGGTCAGAGGATGAGCCGGTCAGAGGCCCCAGAGGGCCAGAGAGCCAGAAATCCAGAGGGTCCGGTGTGGCCACACTGTCAGAATTCTGTGGTGCGAAGGGCTGCCCTGGCGGCATCCAATTATGCTGGCTGGTCAATGTAGACTGGGAAATAGGAGGTGTGATTTTGGGGGAGGTGGCTGAGGCGGTGACGGTACACACGCATGTGACTTTTGAGTCGACTCAAAAGTCATCTCGTTACAATGGCTGAGGGGGTGACGGTACACACGCATGGTTAACACATGGTCCAGCACAGCCGCAGGTGCTGCCGCTCTCCCGTAACTCTGCCTCACTGTCACATAGCCCCATTCTCAACCATGCACCTCCTCTCCCCTCCCTCCTCTCCCCCCCCCCCCCTCTCACCCCCCTTCTCCCCCCCCTTCCCCCCCCACCTCTTCCTTCTGTTTCCACATGCATGCAGATCATCGGAGTCATGCTGCTACTGTGAGGGCTGTGGCAGCTTCTAGGTTGACTCAAAAGTTCCCTCATTCTCCTCCATTCTCCTCCCCTTTCCACCAGCATGTAGACTGTCAGCACCATGCTGCTGCTGTGAGGGCTCTGGTGACTGTGGAGTTGACGCAAAGTTCCCTCCCTCAATCTGCTCCCCGATCCTCCCTCAGTCCCCCCTCCCCTTCTGCCCCCTTCCCTCCTCCCCTTCCTTTCCTCCTTCACGCAGATCATCAGAGCCATGCTGCTGCTGCGAGGGCTCTGCCACTCTTTAGATGCTGACATCTCAGCCGTCCAACTGTGGAGGCCGTATGCTGAGCCTTTCTTGCACAAGAGCCATAGTCCCATCATCCCTACAGCCCAGCACCCATAGCCCACCCATTTGCACTGGTGACTGGCCAGTCAAACCTGTTGCTTGCCTTGGTGTTGGAATAAGTATAGAATAAGTCTTGCCCAGTGGGCAACCACCCGGGCCCAGCTCTGATAACCAAGCCCACCTATCAGCATGCTGAGTGACCCGCCTGTCAGAATGTCAAGGAGTGAGCTTGTTGTGAAGCTGGAAACCTGTCGCGCACCTCATGTCGCCCATTTCGCGGACAGTGTCCGTGTTGCGGGTGTGGCAAACCAAAACGAGCTTGGGAGTGGAGCGGAGTTTCGGGGCAAGTGGCCCCGAGCACCAGCATATGAAATGTTTTGATGCCATCTGTCCTTAGCACGTTGGTTGGCATGTTGGGTGTAAGGAATTTTCCATTCCTTACCGAGCGGTACTGCTATCGCGTACGCTCGAACACACCCAAAGCCTCGGGACTGTTCCGGACCTTTCTGACAGAACTGCCTCGGCTTCTCCAGACCTGCTAGTTCGACCTTCGGGAGTTCTTCAGGCCTCGCTTCGTCACTTCGAGACCCTTTGATCTCCTTCCCGAACCTTACCATCGCATGGTTAGACTAGCTCTGGTGTTCCTATATCTTGGCTTGCCATTCCTTGTATCGTCATTCATTGAGTGAACACTTCGTTATTCATTTCCGCGCTACTCTGCTTGTTCATTCATAACACCTGGTATTCAGAGCCACTTTCCTCGCTCACCCGTTTTCGTGAGTTGATTTTTTTTGGGGGGGGCGGGGTAGGTCCCTCACGTAAGCTGCAAAGCGGTTGCTCGCGAATTAGATTGATTAATTCGCCCAACTATGATAGCGTTTGCCCTTACCTTGAGTACAGGCACACGACGGAATTCCCCCTGCCCCGGCGGAGCATTCGCCAAATGGACCAAGCTCAGTTCAACGAGCTTCGGGAGCAGTTCAACGCCATGAACACGCGCATGGCTACAACACTGGAGGACAACGAGCGTCTTCGTGCGGAAGTTGCTGAGTTACGCCAGGCGCGAGAGGATTCGCGTCAGAAATCTGCCGCCCAAGAGGAGGTCGCCAGCACCGGATGTGTCGAAACCGTCTATGACGAAATCGCACGTCAGGTGTCACAGGAGCGCAAGGACAGTGAAGCCGCCGCAGCAGCTGACGTGGCAGCACGAGCAGCAGCCGAAGCAGCAGCAGCAGCAGCAGCAGCGACAGTGGCAGCCGCTCGGTCAGAAACACCCGCTAGTGTAGCCGCATCGGCGTTTATGAACCCCACAGACAATGCCGCCCCCGTTCAACCCCACAGATAAGAATACTACTGTTACGGGCTGGTTATTTTCGGCGGAACTTTATTTTAACGCCGCTGGGATTACTGCTGACGATTTAAAAATTCGACTGGCTGTATCACTACTACGGGGACCTGCGCTAGATTGGTGGCGATATACTCTACACGAGGGGGAGTTTTCGGCAGGCGACACACAGGGGTTTTTCGGAAACTTTGGGTCTGCTGCCCAAGGGTCAACCGCGATTTTTGGATCGACCAAGATTCGCACGTAGAAGGCGTGGGGTACAGCTCTGCGTGAACGTTTCGAGCCAATATCCGCCTCGGACAACGCACGCACGAAGCTGGACAACTGGCGCCAGTGGAGTTCTGTCCAGGATTACGCGTCGGTCTTCATGGCGTTATGCGATCAAATCACCGAGATGCATGACTCCGAGAAGAAAGCTCGATTCATCTCGGGCTTGAAGCAGGACATTAAATGTGAGGTCCGACTGCGACTGCCGGCGACGTTTCACGAAGCTGTCCGGATCGCAGATAATTTCGACGCACATCGGACGTATGCGAGAGCGGGTTCCCGGGAGGGAAATCGTTTTCGTGGCCAGAATCCACGGCCCACGATTCACGGCGTAGTGGCGAAGGAGCACATGGACGATTTTCGCAAGGGACAATGTTTCAACTGCCACCAGCCGGGTCACCAATCTCACGATTGCCCCCGAAAGAAGCAGATAAAGAAGAACGACGAGGACAGGTCGGGAAACGCCAAGC